TAATTTTAAAAGGTTGGAAAACATTATTCTATTGTATTGCTCCAATACCATCAGTGAACTATTGGTTCAATAATGAAAAATTATTTGTCCCAGCAGAAACTCCTTTCTTATAGTAACTTTGCAAATATCACTTTAAGGACATTAATTTGTTTGCTGAGTGCCTGCTTTGTGCAAGGTTTTGAGAATTCAAAGAAGATTAAGATAGTTCTTTGCCCTTAAGGAATGGTACAAGTGGGATGATATGAGGGAAAGGCAGGGAATTAAAATTTACTCTCAACCACCCATCATATCAAACATGTTATTTACATTCTCACAGCATAATAGCTCTATGAGTTTCTTATTGTTAATCCCATTTTGCAGATAAAAAAAGACTGAGGCTCAAAAACAGTGGGAGTTGGTCAGGGGGTGAGGGGCAACTGGCACTCTAAACAGAGAGAAGAAGAACACATGCACATACACAGAGATGTGAAAGAGCTTGATTTTTCCTGGAAATAGAGTGGCCATAATATTGGATAAGAGCAAGAAATGAGACACTAGCTGGAAAGAAAAGAAGGAAGGGCCCAGAACATGAAGACCTTTACTCGCCAGGTTGTGTGTTTTAGCCTACAGATGAATGGCTTCCGAGTTATATTCCTTGGAACCCTGTTGCCAGTTGGTGTTCAAACATGACCTCTTCCAAGAGCTGCACCTCCAGACAGTAGGAGTTGCTCAGCACTGGGCGCTCCCAGCCCTCCCTCCATGCCTCTACCACTGTCTGTTGTACCAGCTTCGTGTCTTTATGCGGCATAGAAGCTGGTAGATGGGTATTGGAATTGGGGCAGTGGCATTTGAACCATGGGTATGTTTTTTAATGTTTCTTGAGCTTCATCTTCTTTTTTTTAATCTGTAGAATGGGACTAACAATAAGAAACTCATAGAGCTATTGTACTGTGATAATGCAAATAACATCTGACAGATAGTAGGTTGAAAATATATTTTAATTTCCTTCTTTTCCCTCATATCATCCTACCTATATGGGGGTTCGCAAAAACTCTGAGTCACATTTTTAAATACCATCAATCCTCCATTCTTGACTATTTGAGCTGCCTGGGAGGGGGATTGTGAGCAGATGATAATCTGGACCTTCCCCTTAATTTCTACTGCAGAGTCATTATACCTTTACCTGCTTTACATATGGGAGACATACATTTGATTTAATTTTAAAACAGGATCATACTGCTTAAAAAAGTTTGACCAGAGACAATCATTGACCATTTAAGCAAGGGAGGGACATGATGAAATTTACATTTTAGAAAGATTACTGGGGTCAGGGGGCCTTAGATGCCTTGATTTGTTACTTAAGAAGCTCAAGTCTGTGTTGAATGGCCAGGCTACGAGTTTGATGTGAGGATCAGAGCTAGACTTGTGCAAGCTCTTTGTTAATGAGCTTGAGAAAGGGACTGGTTGAAAGGTGATTGGGGGGTCTTTACTTGGCCGAGGACTATATGGGCACAGCTCATGCATTCCTGGGCTCTGCTATCATCCACTCAAGCACTTCCTCACTACCTGCCTGCCTGAAGATTCAAGCACGCCATAGATTCCTGCTTGTCTTAGGTGTGCCCCTTAATACAAGGATAAGGTACCAGTCAGGCCAGCATTGGCATGCATGAGATTCTTATCAAGCTAATTGCCAAGTGATGAAAGAAAGGAAAACAAGGATCTTCCTTCTGCTTAAGCAGTCAGACCTTTGAACAGTCTTCCTATGGGCCAGAATCCCAGTGGGCAGGCAGACATGTGGGTCTGACTCAGGCAAACAGCTCTGGGAGAGGATTCATGGCCCTCCCAAGGGCAATGGGACCCTTACCTCGGTCACTGAAGGACTGATGCTGCTTGTGCTTCTCTTGGGGTACAGGGAACAGTCATGACCCATGTTCATTGACCTGGCCTCGAGGGTCTGAGCCCATCCCAATTAGTAGATAGATGAAAGGGACAAGACCTACTCAGCAAAACACATTTCCATCACTTCTATGACGTGGCCTCAAAGCCAATCACCATCCCTAGTCTGTATAGTGTGAGCTAGAGACACAGGCCTGCCATGTGTAATATTGTGGTTAAAAGAAATATTATGAGCAAAGAAACCAACACTGTGCCCAGCATTCAGTAAGTGTTTTGTAAGCTGTAGTTACAATATAAGCCTTATCATTATTATTGTAGTCCCAGGTATTCCCCAGCTTCTGAGTCCTATTCTTGAAGGATTGGGGGACACACGCCAATATCATCTAGTACCAGCATTACGGCCCCTCTTTTCTCTAATACCTCCAACTGCAGAAAACTCCCTTGGATTGAAGTAGCAGGTCATCCCTGGAGCACAGGCCCAGTCTTGACACTGACCAGATATGGATCACTTGCCTCTTCTAGGCCTCAGTGTCTTAAATTGTAAAATGAGTGTTTTTTATATCTTGATCTCTGAGATAATGATAAGAGCTCTGTGCTTGGGGCTGCTCAATCATATTAGAACCTGGGTGACCTCCTGATTTATCATCTTTCATAGTTGTGATGATCCTTGTCCTATGTAACAAATGTAGGGATCCCCTCTTTCAATCCCGGGCTCCATCCTGGCCCCTCAGGTGACATGGATGAGTGGGGCAATAGCTAGAACAGACCTGCTGGGTCTTATATTTACAAATGTCACCATCAAATGGTGCCCCTTAGTCATAAAATAGGAAGGGACGAAAAGAAGTCAACTTCCTATCCTTTTCCTCCAGGCAATGATCCCAAGATATTCCTAAATCTTCCAAGATAGAAAACCCCACAGCCTATAATGACAGAGCTTATTTACTCTTGTGCAACTTCATCCCTCTCTTCTGATGTTAGAAGTGGGTTCTCCCCAACAAGGTGAGCAGAACAGACCTTTGGCTCCATCATCCTCCCGTTCTTAGAGATGGCGGTACTGATAACATCTCTGGTTCATCAAAACCCCCGAGCTAATGACCTCACAATCATTCTCTCCACTGGACCAAAAGGAGATAACCTAGTAGGCTGTGTCCTTCATCCTGCAATTAACATATCTTAAAAGAAAGGTAGGGCCAGTGAAACCCTTTTACCACTACCCTTCACCATAAAGCCTGGTTCCAGTTGGATCAGTAGTGTTATCTTAGGAAGGCCAGTACTATAAAACACGAGTATAACGGGCAGGCATTAAGAAGCCTTAGGCAAGTCCCCCACAACCCCCCACATTTGTATGACATTTCACATGTTTTATTTTCTCCTCTTAACAACCCTGTGAGTTGGGTATTACTGCATATGGAAAAACTAGTATTTGAGAGTTTGAAAACAAGTGTAGATCACACAGTCTCTAGATTCCAGAGCAATATGGCCAACTAAGCAAGGAATTACATGAAGCAAGGAAACTGCTTTTTCAGTCTTGCCCTTGGTGCTATTGTAGATCAGGGACTTGAAACCTGACAGTGCATATGAGCCATCTGGAAAGCACTTTTAAAATGCAGATTCCTGGTCGGCAACTAAGACCTATTCAGTCATAATCTCCAAAGAGCGGGTCCTAAGCATTTGCATAGTTTGAATATTCCCCAGGTGATTCTGCTAGTTTGGGAAACATCATCCTAGGGTGTTCTGGCAGTACCACAGAACAACAGCCAGCCCACGGAACATTCTGGTAACATTTCCATGCATCCTGCTACCTTCCTCCAAGCTCCTCCAGGGATCTTCATAGACAATTGAAAGAAGTAGGGAGTACAGGCAATGCGCAACATCATTCAGCCCTGGGGGGTCTTAGCGTCTAGTGCAGTTTTCTACAGATGCTTACATCTCACCCACCACTCCCACAAGCCTAACGATGAGCTTTCTGGCCTAAAATGAAATGCTTTCAGTTGGAGAACTCAGTATCTCACAAGGCAGTCCATTTCTTTTCAGACGGTTGTCATTTTTAGAAATTTTTCTGTAATAAATGCATGGAATCAGATAAATAAAGAAATACTGATAATATCTCAAAAAAGCAGTTCTTGACATATAGTCAGTACTTATTTATTGGTTGAATGAGTGAATTAATTACCAATAAAATATGTCATTTGGCTTGGATGCATGCCTTCATTTCACAAATGACAGTTGACAGTTCAGATAAGTCATCGTATCCAATTCAGAGTTAAAACCGTGGCAGAATCAGCACTAAACCTGAGGTCAGTTGATTTCCAATCAGTGTTTATGCTTGGGGGTGGGCAGAGGAGGAGAGGGGACACGAGTAACAAGAGCATGGTTATTCCAGCAGCGTCCTCTTGGGAGCACAGCATAGTGGTGAAGTGTCTTGTGTCTACACTCGGGTCACCTACCTTCAAATCCAGGTTCCAACACTTATTAGTTGTACAACGTTAGGCTTGTCACTTATCTTCTCTGTGCCTTGACTGCTGATCTGTAAAAAGGTGATAAAGATTCCAGCTACTTCATAGAGCTGTTGTGAGGATTAAATGAGTAATATGTGTGCAGTGATTAGAAGAGTGCTTGTACAGAGTAAGCTCTATATAAATACAGATCGTTACTGTTACTCTTTGTCTTGTTGTTATTGATTATCATTATTTGGCTAGTTCAGTGTCCTTCAGTAATGAGGATCTATATTTTTCTTTCTCCAAATATTTTTAAATGCCAATGAATGCCAAGAAAACATGTCAGTGACTGGGAAATGCTAGTTTCACAGTACTCTTCCCAGCCCACCCACAAGGACCACCACCATCTCCTGCAAAAATCCCCATGAGTCATGCATGTGTTGGAGTTGTAGCTGTGACAATGGATATTGAAATGGATTAGGCAAAGATTCAAGGTTGAATGGAGTCATATATTTGAGAAATGGTTCACATTTATCGGAGTTATTATATAAAGCTATTCTGGGGAAGGTTCTCTAAAAATTCATTCACCTTTAGGCTGTGAGAGCAAACTAACTGGGCACTAGAGAAATGAGTAGGGTTAGTGCTTGATCCAGGCAGGGACTGAGTTTGCATGGGGTTCAGGATGTGTCAATCACCTCTATTCCTCTGGCCATCAAAGAAGGACAGAGAGAACCTGTCAGAGATAAGGGTAGAAATTCCAGGACCTACAATCAGAAGGAGAAGAATGGAGACACCTATAGGTCCTTGTAGGAAGGGCTTATTGAAGCTCAGGAGAGGAGAATTGGGATCAGTGAGAAACTATACTTGAGAGGACTGGCTGAGCTGCTATAGAGAGAGAAGTCTAGGAATTAGACTGTGTGTGTGTGTGTGAGATGGAGACAGAGAAGGGGATCCTGTACTCGTTAGGTGTTAGATGACGCCTGAGCAGGGTGGTGAATGCAGCAGTAAGAAATAAATTTATCCAGTCCTCTTTATCTTATTCAAGCATCACTTCACACTAGAATGAAGGCTGAAGATATTTTTATTGTCCACATTTCACAGATGAGTGAATTACACCCCTTGTGAGGCAAGCTATGACTACACCTGTGAGACCTTCTGTTTTTAGGCATCTGCTTGTTTGCTTCGTTATACTCTTGGTTAGCCCTCTTTGCCGTATTATAAGCAGCATTTTGTTTTAATGCGACATGCTTTTTTTTTCAATGGAAGGCAAAACAATAGTGGTTTGTCATCCATCTATGACTTTTTTCTAAGAGTGTTGTTAAGTGTATCGTTGGTCATCACAAAAAATTTCTTTTAGAATCCATTGTTAGGAAGGGCAATCCTTCCCTTGAAGATTATATATATTAGATCATGTGTCTCTTTATAGTCTATCTTCTAGGAAGTTCAGAGCTAATCATTAGTCTGAGGTATAGTAACTATGTGGGTCCCAAATTGAATATTTGGGCACTTTTATCTACCCACAGGCTAACCCCTACCACTTTCTGACTCCCTAGTTGTAGTTTTGAGACTGAGATGATATGCCCTCTCCTGCCTGGTTCATAGGGAGAATCCACACTGGTTCTAACCTATGCCTGGGTACGGAGTGAGGCTTTCTCACGCCCACAGCCCCACACAAGGTGTCCATGACCTCACCCTTTGTGCCCAAATCATATGATGGAAACTTGCTCCCTGGAAGTGGGTCTGCTAAAGTGGGATGGCAGGATGAGGAAGCTGAGCAAAGTCTACGTTTGGTAGACGATTTCTGGTGGGTGGAGGTCCTCATGGAGTGACAGTCCATTTCAGTTCAGCCCCTTGATCTTCAGGATGCTGTCTTTGCCTTGACCCAGCTTCAAATACTGACTCATTCACTCTTTCCTGTTCAATCAATAGTCTATGTAGACTCCGGAAGCAAGAAAACCATCGCTCACACAGCATACACTGACTCCTGGACATTTCATAATTTATTTTTCAAAATAGAATACACCATACATGCATACTGGTATTGAACAAATAAGTGAATGTGTGGCAGATGGAGAGAAGCATATTTCTCACTGTTGGAGTGGAAGCTTACAGATAAGCAAAGAAAGAAGCTAGAATAAACCATATGATACTGTTAGAGTTGAAGACATCAGAATGAACTCATGTTTAGCCTAATACAGATACAGATGGATAATTATTGAGATAATTATAGTAGATGTGTATATGCTGGTTAGTATGCATATGTATATTTCCAAGCTCTGTCCGTTGAGAAGGCCTAGAAGCAATGACACCCCATTAGCAATGAGCACAACCAGCACCCAGATCTTGGTTTATAATACAACTTTCCAACAAAAGAAACCAGGGCTCACTAGACAGAGAAGGGGATCCTGTACTCGTTAGGTGTTAGATGACGCCTGAGCGTCATCTAATGGCTGAATCGAGGTCTGGGACAGAGAATATACAAAATGAGCCTGAAGCATCTTACAGTGCCAGAAAGCAAGGAAATGCTCAAAAAAGAATCTGGTGGGGTGATGCCAAAGGGACACAGGAGCTGACCTAAAAGAATTCCCAAAGCTAGAACAATATGAACAATAAACTCAAGAAGGTGACATTGGATTATAACCCAAAATATAACATAAATAGATATCCAATATCCATGAGTCCATAGTGATGTAAAGAAATGATAGAATAAGTTAAAAAATATAGAGGCAAACAAATCTCTCATACAGAATTCCAAATTATTTATGTCGATACTCCCCCCTTAAGGAGGTAGAGCATAACTTCCTAACCCTTGGCTGCACATAGTGACGTTCTTCCAAAGAAAGGAGTATGGAAAGATAAAGAAAAAGAATAACTTTACAGTGGAGACAAACACTACGTCAGCCAGATGATCAAGGGCAGTATCAACAGTGATGTCATGTTGATAGTGTGCCCCCTTGATATGATAGGCTGAGAATGGCACTTTATGCCTATGATCCTCCTCCTAAAAATCCATAATCCCATCCAATCATCAGGAAAAACACCAGACAAATACCAGTTGAGAGACATTTGACAAAATACCTGACCAGTACTCCTCAAAACTGTCAAGGTCATCAAAAACAAGGTAAATCTAAGAAGCTATCACAGTCAACAGGAGACTGAATGTAATGTGGTGTCCTGGATGGGATTCAGGAACAAAAAAAAGACATTAGGTAAAAATTAAGGAAATCTGAATAAAGTATAGGTATGAACATTAGTTAATAATAATGTATAAATATTGATTTATTAATTGTAACAAATAAACCATACTAATGAAAGATCTGAACAACAGGGAAACTGGATGCAGGGAATGTGGGAAATTCTCTGTAATATCTTTGCAACTTTTCTGTAAATCTGAAACTATTCTAAATAAAAAGTTTATTTAAAAAAATAGAGCACACCTCAAATGTAAGTTACAGTTAACATGTATTAAACTAAATATGTACTAAATATGTCACCCATGATATCTATAATTCTCTCCACAGTCTCATGAGGCAGATACTATTATTTTACCTAATATTTAGATGAAAAACCGAGGCACAGAAAGACACACAAATCTGAAAAGATCACAGAGTTTTCAAAGATTTGAAGCGGGTTTCATCCGACAGGAGTCTGAACTTATACCCACTCTGTTAAGGGAGGATTGACCTAGGGCTATGGCAGATGTACATAAAAACAGGGTATGATTTTATCTATTTTTAGAATAAAGTAATACATTTTCATAAAAATTAAAAATCAGGTGATCCAATAGGTTGTAACATGAAAAAACTGTCTCACTCTCTGTCTATACTTTTATTTCTCTGCTTCATTTCAGACATCTCTACTTACTCTTCAAATGAAACACAACAGATTGAGCTCATGTTCATCATCCCCTCTCTCCTTCCTCCTTATTTAGACATGGTTTTATTTTTCATGCTTCTCTTGGCTACCTCTATAACTTTAAATTTCTTCATCTGCCAAGTTTAGGCAGTATTTCTTAACTTCCCAGTAAATAAGACAGGAAATTAGCACCACATAGTTTCTTTCACCTTAAGATGATTTTATTTTAATATTTTATTTGTGACACTTTACAGAAATAAATAAAATCAATGACTTTTTTATTACTATGTGTGCTATATCATGAAGAATATAATATCTAGTAACAAAATGTGGTCTGTCAGACATTGTACACTATGAGCTGTTGAAAATGCAATAGACTTAGGGGGTTGGCTAGGCCAGCCTTACTAGAGGTTGACCCTGAGGCCAGGCTGATGAGAGTCACATGTGTCCTGACTGGAGACCCTGGAAGAGCTGGGCACTCTGAGGCAGGGGCTGACCTGGCATGAGATCACTGGGCTCGACTTCAGTTCCGGTGCCAGGACTTGTTTGCTGGAAGGCTGGAATTGAGACCTGTTAAGAGAGGAGAAAGCTCTGTTGAAACCTTGACCCACGGGTCTTTCAAAGTCCCTGGGAGAGCTCTTTTAAAGATATAGCAACTTTCTTTCTTTTTAATGTAGATGTTCTTTGTTTAATTCATACAATACTGCATTTAACATTTTTTTAAAAATTAGATAAAAGAGCACATTAAATATCAAATGCTCTGTCAAAATAAAGTTTTTCTAATTAGAAAATGTTAAAAATGTGTAAATAATTAACATTCATTAAAAGCATAAAGTTAGATATATTCTAAAGAAAAATGATTGTGCCACTTATCTATTTTTGCTGTTCCTGTAAACATTTAAGATGTTGTATGTAGGACATTTTCCCCAAATTCAAAGTCTACATTTTTCATTATTGACGTGGGAGATCAAAATTGGCCACCTCAAAATATGTCTCTTTACCTTGATTATTTTCTCTGATGGACATTTGACCTCCCCCATCAACTGCCTAAACTAATTTAACTCTAGGTACGGATAGACTGGGAGAGTGCTTGCTGAGCCCATTCTTATCAAAGTTCTGTTTACCAAACATTTACATCTATAATGGAAATCTCCATTTGTAAAGGTATCTCCCTCTCTGTACCAGGAAGAAGGGGGGATGACCTTATCTCTAGAAACTCTTATTAGCACACTTTTATGAGTGTGGAAGGTGAGGACTTAAATCTGTATACTCTTGATTGCTATTCCTTCTGGTGGTCTCCCATGGCTGACACCCACACCGCCAACATCCTCCTTTGTCTGCCTGAATATGCTATTTAAGGTGAAAACCTCCGCCGTTTGTTCAGAGACTCAGTTTCCCTTGTTTCTCCCATGTATACATGTTATAAATCTTTGTTTGATTTTCGCCTGCTATTCGGTCTCATGTCAATTTAGTTTGTAGCCCAGCCAGAAAAGACCCAGAGTGAGTAGAGGATAGTCTTCTTCCCCTTCATTGATCACCATAAAACAAAGGTACAATGTATGTACAATATTAAAATGAAGCCATACTAGAGCCACACTAAGAAGACATTTGTAATATTGACATTTCTGATGTAAGGCATACTTAGAAAATGTGAAGATGCCAAACATAGACCTTTATGAAGAAAAACAATGATCAAGTGACTAGTTTATTTTCAATATAGTAATTTTGAAGTCAATTTGATACAGACTAGGCCGCGTATCTATGCAATAAAATACAAGTTGAGCAATTAGCACAGGGAATCTGAGCACTGACTAACGCAATCTGAATAGGCCCAAAAATTACACAGTACTCTTGTAAGAGAAAATTTGTTTCTGTCCAAACTTTTTTTTAATCGTTGTTTGGTGAATATCTGTTTTCAATAAAGAGCAGAAAGAAAAAATAGGAAAAAAGATGTTCTTAGACACTAAGCTTTACACAATCAATCAAACATTTATATTTTGCTTTTTTCTTAAGGAAAAATGAGATTTTTTTCCAGAAATCTCTTACACAAATATAACTGAACATCTAAATCAAGGATATTTAAAAACCTATCAGCTAAATAGGGAAGTTCAAGCAATGGTGTATCAAAATTCATAAGACATGCTTTATACAACATAAAGCATCCTTTTCTCTCAGAAGGAGAAAATATCTACTCTTTTTTTAAAAAGTATAGATTTCATGACAGTAAAATAGGTAGATACTTAAGTTTCTCAGAAAATGTTTCCTTTCACAAAGTGGATTTTTCCTTTAGCTAGGGTAATTTTTTAACTTAGTACTCAATTTGCTCTTGAACAAAAGAAATTCTTTTCCTCCAAATGATTTTCTTAAATGAGGAATTTAATTGCTCCCAACATGCTATCTTCCTGGAGAGTCTGAAAAAAAATCTTTGTAGTCTTTGACAATTCTAGAACTCCAATTCTAAGAATTTACCTTAGGAAAATTACTAAAAATAATGAACAATGAGAATGTTTATTTTGCTGTTGTTTAGACAGCAAAAACTGGAAGCAATGTAAGTGCCCAATATCAGGGAACTAGCTACACGAATCATGGTGTGTTCACACGATAGAGTATAACAGTGTTGACCAATCTTTATTAGCATGGAAGAGTACTGACAATTATGTTGTTAAGTAAAAAAGCAGGTTATAAAATATTTTGAAATAATCCCATTGTGTGATTTTTATAAAGTTTGGAAATATATCTATGAAATTATTTGTAGTGATTATTTTTAGGTAATGAGATTTTTGGTTGGTCTTAATCATCTGCCTCATGTTTATCTATATGAATATATCTTTATACAAGTATGCATCATTTGTTTAATGAGAAAAACTACACATTTAAAATTATAATTATATATAATTATGCTATATCTATATGCCTATATATAGATGTATCTTAACAGAGGCAAAATGAAGTCCTAGCAATCAGGAAGATTGCTAAGCTCTGAAAATAGACATCCTGTGTATTGGAAATGACAGAAAGGCTGATACTCTCTTCTGATCCTGGGCAATATAATCTACTTGGTTGGGTACTTGGTTAAAAAAAATATTTTCAGTGTCCCCCAGAAAATGGGAATTAGCCAAAATTTTTACCTTGCACTTATATTGATAGGCAACCTAATTGAACCTCAAGCGCCTCTAGGCCCCTATACTTTACCTCAGGTCCCCCCGACCCCAGGCAGATAGACCCTGAGCTTGGGCCCAGACTATTTCCAGAGGTACAATCCTTCGGTAGCTGGAGTTTTATACCTTCAGTTCAGTAAACTCATCTGATTCGAGTTCTCATAAGGAATTGGGCTTATGAACGTCCCACATTATCATCTCACATCTGGCAATCCAGCCAAATTAAAATTCATGCCATTGGCAAGTACCTCACTTCATTTATGCTGTATCTTCCACCTGAAGGATTCTTCCTCTTCATTCCACTCCCAGCACCAAAGTCGGCTTCTCTTTAAAGGCCCTGTTTAAAGGCTACCTCCCCAGGAAGCCCATTCTCCTCCCCTCAAGTGGCATGCTTTCTGTGTTCCAGAGAAACCTCCTTTGATCCACACCATCGGGATGAGTCTCTCCCTGCTGTCCTTGACCTTTTGTACTTTTCTTTCTCCTCTAAGTTCATTTGGGCACAAAATGAGAAAAAAAAATAAGTATGTGAATCAGCTTAAAATTATACTTATTAGTCCACATATTTCAATCTTGAGTCTACATTGCTTCTCCCACTAGATTGTAAGCTTTTCTAGAGTAGAGACAAGTTTCCTACTTAAGTCTGTGAACACAGAGCTCAGTACACAGTAGCGGCTCAATATATTTATTTATTTACTTATTTTCAACATATGTTTATTACATTGAAGCCTTCAGTGCTAGGATCATGCAATGACATAGGTTGATGACTGTGAGGATGCTGAGAACTCAGACATAAATCTCAAACCATCTATCACTTTGAAGTGTTGTCAGCTGTCTTAGGAGGAAAGAAGAGGCAGCATCCACCCACGGAGGTCTCAGCACATCCAAGCAGACATTTCGAGTGTTCACAGTAGCCACGGCTCCAAAGGAAGCAGCTGTGCAGTTGCTGAGCTGAAGGGGTGGGTGGAAGACAGAAGCAGAAGTGCAGCTTAACCTAGTTCTCTCCTCTTAAGTGCTGGGGGCCCAGGAAGTGTGTCTCAGCCCAAATGAGAGGGAAAAGACCTGAGCTTCCGAGTGGAATAAGTGCACAAGACCTGAGTGGGGAGAGAGCAACTGTACCTGTGCTGCTCTCCTCTGGGCCGGTCACCTTAACACTCCTCCTCTTTGATGTGGTAGGTCGTGCCACCACTGATGCAGCGGGGCTTTCGGCGAGCCCTCCGAGGGCTGGCTGGGCTCTGATCCCGGGGCCTTTGAGATCCAGAACCACAGCCTCCCGAAGTGGGAGCACAGCAAGGAGCAGAGCAGGAAGCCAGGGAGGGGTTTGGGTACTGGAGAGGGGAGCAGTGGGGAGCACTTGGAGGCTCCCAATGTTTCTGTTTCTGCTGTGACATCACTGGACTAGTGGGTAGAAGCTGGAAGAAAAAAGAGCAGTTAGGTCAGGGCTTTGGATATCTTTTTCTCTCCTCCATGGGCTGGAGCTGTCAAAATGGACCCTAGCATTCACAACCTGTTAAAATTCATCCCAGGTGGGTGCAAAATGGATTTGAAAGAGCTAAATATTTGGGGAGTAAATCATGGTGGGAACTCCCAGGGGACCCACTCGCCAACAGCCAAGCTAATAACTTACTCTTCTTAAACAAGAAAAACAAACTACAACTTAGTTGAGCTGATAGTCCACTTTTCCCAGGCCAGTGTCCACCATGGTCAAGCTTAAAGGAGAACCAAGTCTCTGCTATTTCTTCACTCAGTCTTATTTTGCCTTGAGATTCCTAAGCCTGCACATATCTTCTCTGCTTCTCCAGTTCCCCAGCTTCTACGGCTTTCTCCCGTGTTAGATCATTTGAGGTCTTTTGCAAGGACCCACTTCCATTCCCTTCTGCCTTCCCCAGACCTCTCCTACTTGGCTTATCTACTCCCTGGGAAGAGACAAGAGGGGAGATCAGGACTGCCTTAGCTGCATCTAAGTGAGGGATATCCAAGTGTCTCCCTACCCAGAAGTAGCCTCACCCTAGAGGAAGACAGGTAGACAAGTCATCCCCGCAGGAATCTGGAGGCCTTGTGGGGCCGGAAAGGAAGAGGCCTTGTATATATCCTCCAAGTGAAGCCTCCAGGCTACATGTTATTGGAAGGCAGCCATGGAGTGGATTATTTATCCAGATGTTTCATAATTCCCAGGGCTAGATTCCTCAGCTACACACAGCTGGGATGTGAACCAAAGGGATTCCCATGTGAGTGAGGGACCAGAAGGCTGGAACCTTCAGACGGCCTAAGTGAAGGTGGATACACTGACTAAGTCTAGATTACATTCCTGGGGGCTGATCGAGGATACGACAGCTGTTGAGTTCTATCTAAGATTGGAGGGAGAGGGTCAAGTTCAATACCACCTAAGTCTGAAGACTACCCTTCTTGTCCACCCCTGACCCATCATCCATGACTTTCATCATCCAGCTCAATGCCATAACTTCCATGGCGACTTGCCTGGTCTCCCAGCCACATCCAAGTCCTTCATCTTCTGAACTTCATAGACGCCTCTCACATCCTTTATAGCTGCTCAACGTCAAAGTGACCTAAATACTTGTCCTATCTCCTCTATTAAACAGTCTCTTGATGACAAGGACCTTGTCTTTATCACTTCTGCATTCCTGGGGCCTGATACTGTCCCTGACGTGAAGATGATGCTCATTAATATTTGTTGAATGAAACAATCTATGTGCCATTAGAATAGACTTTATGTCTTTAGAAAACAAAAAATAGGAAGAAAATAAAATCCCACTCCTTTTTGTTTTGTGGATCAGATCTTGACTACGTGTGTTCACCATCCTTACCTAAGGCCTTTGTGAACACCCTTTTATAAATAGTACAGAGAAATCTGTGGGTGGACCTCACCTTATAGGACAGGCTGAGAATACTATGGAGAATAAAATATTCGTAAACCCTGCCGTTTCTTAAATGCAAAAGGAGAGCTGTTTATGTAATTATCAAGGGACCTCATGGAAAAGCTTTCTACGGAGTGAAAAGGTTTCCTTCATGTTTCATGAATATTAATATGAGCACATGTTAGCTGTGCTTAGAGTAGGAACACTCTCATCTAAATATAGTTCCTCGTCTTTGGATGCTTCCCTCTCAGAACTGCTGCTGACATGCACAGCTAAGTAAAAAGGTACTGATGAAACTCCTTGATGGAAGGGACAGTGTCTTGCCTGCCTCTCTGTTCCCAATGCCTGACACACAGTAGGGACTCAGGAAACAGTGGAATAAATGAAAAAGATGAACAACTACAAGAGATATTCTGATTATAGGAGCAGTCCCTAAAGACTTCAAATCATATATAAAACAAAGGTAAGCAGGGTTGGGGTGTAGGATGAGGGATAAGTACCTAACCAGCGTGGAAAACAGGACAAGGCCAGAAGACGAACAGCTGTTGGAGCCCCAAATCCAGCAGGACAGGATTACCAGGGCTGGCTTGCTTCATCTGGGAATGCACCCAGGAGGAGGTAGGCTTTGACATGCGGTTTGGATGAAGGGAAAGAAAAGTCCTCATGAGTGAAACAGAAGGTGAGAGAATGGTATGAAGCCTATCTCACCCCATTAGAACCGGACCCTGGAGAGACAGCATCCGATTTATGGGGCTTTGGAGATCATACTCCTTCTTCCCTCACTTCCTTCTCCCTCCTCTCTCTCTTTTTCTTCTTCCTTCTCTTCCTCTTCTCCTTCCCTCAGGCATCAGAAATAATCCTAACTACTTCAGAAAGGCTTCACATACACTAAGCATTAGTGGGAGGGCAAAGTACCTCTGATCACAACATACCTTTTCCCCACCCAGACTGGCACCATATAAACCTAGGCTCCCAAGACCTCACACATCACAAATGCATTTCCCTGAGGTTAACTAACAACTACCCAAACCCTGTTGCCCCTACCTAAGGGCTGAGGGTTCTTTCTGGAGGCTCTGCCCTGGGTGAACTAAGCTTCCCTGCTTCCTCTCCAACTCTGCCAGACCACTCCTCCTAATAATTGCCCACAGAAGTCTCTAGGTCCAGCCAGTGTCAGTACAATGAATTTCATCTCCTTTAGGATGGTGTCAGTGATCTGTTCCACCAGGATTGGCACTTTCAGTGGAGGAGATCAGCATCTAGCTTTTCTCATCCCCTAAAGTGAGCCTTCTTGAGGCTCCTGAGCTGTCCTGTGCTCCCACTAGATTTACAAATCCAGCCAGTTCAAGGTCAGGATCCCAGAAATTTAATGTTCCCCTTTTATTCCCACTCTATCTCTTTTCCTGGATCATGTTGTGTCTATGAGTATGATTCTACGATTTGATATTTATTAAGCACCTACTGTATGGGAGATACAAGAAGCAATAAGCACCCTATCTCATGTTTCAAAGCTTTTATTCTAGAGATAATGTAGACACATGCATAGATAACACAAGACAGTAAATGAAAGACAGGCGAACAGAGAGGCAGGTGCATTCTCGTTATGGGTTGAGAATGGAACTAGTCAGCTTAAATTTACCAAATTAGAATGATATTATTTTGAATATGTGATTCCTACTATTATTAGCATCCCATCCTGGTCTGGCAGCAGGAGCTTATCCTGAGAATTACCCACCTCTTCTCATTCTTATCTGTAGTTGTGATACTATTTATCTGAGCAATAGATGTCTCTATCCCTTTCTTTCTTCCTTTCTTAGTGAAAAACTCACTAGAGGAGCTCAACAGTGTATTTGAACTGGCAGAAGGGAGACAACAAACTTGAGATAGATCAATAGACGTTATGCAACCTGAAGAACAAAGAGAAAAAAAAAGAATGAGAAAAGTGAACAGAGCCTCAGAAAAATGTGGATACCATTAAGCTCACCAACATATGTGTAATGTGAGTACCAGAAGGAAAGGGGAGAGAGAGATAGAAGCAGAAAAAATATTCAAAAACAATGGCTGAAAATTCCCCAAATTTGTTGAAAAACAATCTATACATTCAAAAAGGTCAACAAATTCAAAGTAGGATAAACACAAAGAGATCCACATCCAGATATATTCTTGCAAAAGTGTTGAAAGAAAAAGAGGGAGAAAAACTCTTGAAAATAGCAAGAGAAAAACACCTCATAACTTACAAGGGACTCTAATACTATTAACAAATGACTTACAACAAACGATGGATACCAGAAGGCATTGGAATGACATTTTTAAAATGCTGAAAAGAAAAAAAAGTGTCAACTCAGGATACACATAAAGATCAATGAAAGAGAATTGAGAGTCCAGAAAGAAACCCATCAATGTATGGTCAATTGATTTTTGGCAAGGTACCAAGACATTTCACTGAGGAAACAACAGTCTTTTCAACAAATGGTACTAGGACAACTATATATCCACATGTAAAAGAACGAAGTTGACCCCTACCTACAGCATTTAAAAAAATAACTCAAAATGTATCAAGAACCTAACTGAGAGGCTAAAACTATAAAACTCTTATAAGAAAATATACAAGAAAATCTTCATGATCTTGTAGGGAAACACAACCTCTGCTTTCAAGGAACTTTAATCTGAGATAGATGTATAGCACCTGTCATTAGGAGGCATCCAGTCTAAGAGGGGAGAAAGAACTCTCGACTTTAGAGTGAAGCTGGTCTCAACTGAAACAACACAGTTATGAGGGATATAGGGTCCTTTTGTCTGAGAATTCCTATTTACATAGCATGGTGGTCATCTGTCACTTTGGCCAGCCATCAACTCCATACTTGTTAGTATGCTAGTTGACTTTTTTTGAGGGGACCCCCCAACGTGTGTAGTGTTTGAGCTCTCCCTTGTTACTGAAACCAAAGGAGATCTAGTCCCCTTCTAGCTTCCTGGAATAGCCAAAGAGCAGGCACATACTGAGGATCAGCGTATTTGAAGATCCCTTATGGAACTTTGAGTCTCGAGTGACGGACTAAAGACACAGGGACATCTAGAGGTCATATCAATCACAGCAGTTGTGAGGTGGGAACCACACTATTCCTGCTGTGATGTGTTCCTGCTGTCTGCTCCACCAGACACCTGTGCTTTTTTAATAGATTAAAATATAAATTCAAAGTATTGGCTATTTATCCAGTTCATAATAATACTATCAAGGTGTAATAAACTCAAAGCAAAATTAACAATGATTACATCTCATATGAAATTTGTAATTGAAAATAATTTTGAAGAAAAATCAAGACTTCTTTACAAAATATAGGGATGAAATATTTGACCTGAAAAATTGGACTTGGGACTCAGGGAGAGAAAAGAGAGAAACGACTGATTTTTTTTTTTTAAGTCTCTAATTCCTTTTGTAGGCATTTTTAATTTTTACCATCTTTGCCACATGCTAAATGTATGTTTATAGTTAAATTAACTAAGATTCATGGTCTATTTGTAGAAAGTTCATGTATAATATTCTAAACAAATTTTTTGGCTTAAAAAGAAAGAAACTTGGTGGTGAGTCGGGGCAGTATCACAAAGGGAAGGTGGATGGACTAGGCATCTGTCTCCCTGCCTTGCCTGGGACTGGGTGGGACTCTGAAGAAAGTCCAAAGTCCTAGGCACTGTGTCCTTGAGACACCAGGAGGCTGCACTCAAGCAGAGCTACATAGGATTCACCTGAGAAATGATTTCAGAGGACGGGGCAGAGCCGCTTTTCTCTCCCCTCCTCCCAAATATTTGATTCTATTGATTCCTGCGAGAGAATGGATAGCAGTGAAAATAATATTAGGAAGCAAGCAGGCAAGGAAGAGTTTAGAACAAGATGGTGAGCAGATGCCTTGTTTTATTGTTTCATTTGAGGCTGCAGATTGCAAGGACATTAGCTGGGGAGTGACTTAGAGTCTGTGACTTGGGGTCTCAGACAGCACAGTTGATGACAGAGGTCAGCAGATAGACTTTTGGGAGAGGATTCAGGCTTCTGAATCCCAGGGCAGAGACATTATCTACCCCAGAGCTCAGAACCTTCACTGGGACATCTCAGCCGCTCAGGCAAACCTAAGAAGAACAGGGGGAGAA